TTCTAGTGTCCATCTGTATTTCTGTGTCCTACAACTTCAAACTGTGGCAAACTGACTGTGTTTTCTAGTGTCCATCTGTATTTCTGTGTCCTACAACTTCAAACTGTGGCAAGCTGACTGTGTGAGATCTGTTCTCAAAACTTTGCCATTAACTAATTAAATCTAGAGAACCGTCTGAACCACTGGAAGAATTTTTAACTAATGTTGCAGCGGGAGCCGATGCGAGCCCTGAGCTACTGCAGCTAGCTGTTGCTAGCTGTGGGCCTCAGGGCTCATCTCGGACCCCAGGTCCGCCTCCAGCTCACGCTGCCCCCTCGGCTCGGACCTCTCTCAGAAGTGGCAACTCACACCATCAATACATCAAGGAAACGTTAATTAAGTTTTACTAATTGTATTAAATCAAGGCAGGAGAAGGTTACAGTTTACAGCGCTGGCCTGTCTGATTCATGACGTGGGATCCTGGACCAGAAGGGCCGGATGTCACATGGCATTACAAATATTTAGAGCCTAGACTCCTCCTTTGCAGAGGGGGAGCACAGCCTATGGATAAGGGGCTGGACGGCTAAGTGTGATCTCAATGGATCTTATGTGGTTTAACGTGTCAGGAAAAATGATACGGTGCATAAAAAGCCTTTCTACGTGATGCAGCGGGCCGATAAAGAAAAAATAAAAACTCTATTCCTTGACAGATACTGAATCCCTGGGAGACTCTTTTTAGAGTTGCTGGCCTCGTTTAAACCAGTCAGAACCGGGTCATAATTTCATTATAATCTGTCGCTGAGCAGATTAAAAACCCAGGGTCAGTCTAGATAAAAAAAATACTAAAACTAAACTTTCAGAAAGTAATCAGACACACTTTTGGAGCCATCCCAATTCAAGTTAGCCACCACCACCAACAGATCAATGAAATTTCAAAGAGCTACAACTAAGTCCAATTTCCAGGTATTGAGCTAAACTTTGGAGTGGTAGTAGCTGAGGCTAACTCACAACATGTACTCTAAATGCTATATGTTGCACAACATTGCTTGAAACTTTTGGCACTTATCCACTGTTGGCATCAACCATAAAACTGTCTGAAACTTGATCTGCAATATTTACTCCTTCAACTCATGCTAATTAATTTAATTTAATTCTGTGCTTTTAATAAAATTCTGCACTTCCTGTTTGATGCAGGGGACTTCATCACACGACTTTACTCCTCAATGGAGAACTGTGAAGTCGATCCTCGTAAATGCCCCGCCGCTGAGCTGACGAGCAACCAGCAGCATCTGAGTGAAACCTGCGAGGAGGTCGTGCAGAAGATCGTTGAGCTCCACGGGTAAAGAACCAAGACTTATCATCAAGAAGGAAACCAAAGCCAAACAAAAACCTGAATATTGACTCTGCTGTCCAGACCTTTTCCAGAAGAACTCAACAAGATCTTCTCCAGCTGGGTGGAGCTGTGTGAAGACCAGGGCAGAGCAGAAATTGGCCATCGGCTCATCTCTGCTTCCCTCTTTCTTCGCTTCTTGTGCCCTGCCGTGCTCAGTCCTTCCCTGTTCGGCTTGATGCAACCTTATCCCGAGCCGAACACGCTCCGGGCCCTTACCCTAACCGCCAAAGTCATCCAGAATCTGGCTAACTTCACCCTGTATGTAGATTTGTATTAGTATCAGCTCTTTTTGTTGCATTTTTTACCTCTGCAAAACATAAAAAGGTCAGTTTTTATTAAATAAATTATGAGTGAATTAAATGTTTTGTTCTGATTTAGGTTTGGAGAGAAGGAAGAATACATGCTGTTTATGAACGAGTTCCTGCAGCAGCACTGGGATGGAATGAGGTCTTTTCTGCAAACCGTGTCCAATCAGGACACAGAGATCCCAATGACGTCATTTGACGGATACGTGGACTTACCGCTGCGTTTAGCTGTGCTGCACGGTCTGCTGGTGGACATTATTTACAAGAAAGACCAGGTGGGGCGGAGATGACTTCAGTTCCCTTTTGAGTTAAAAATGCAGGTCAAAACTAACTTTCTCTCTTCTGCAGGAAACGATAAACAAGCTGCACCCGCTGCCCTCCATCCTCAACCAGATTACAGAAGCGCTCGGCCCTGAAGTCCCTCAGATCATCATAAACAGGTGTGCCTAATGGACACCTGGATTATGATGTTTTGTAATTGTTGTTAAACTTGTAGCCTTTTCTTTGCAGCCAAACAGAACAAACCAAGCCGATCTACGTTCCTCCCAAAGACCTGGGAAAGTACAGTCCTCTTCAGTCCTCCATGCAGAAGCTACCTGTGGACTCCAGAGGCCTTCGAGACAGGTGTGTCTACTAAAGACTGATCGTTTAATCTTATTAAGCTTTAAACACTAAAGCAGCAACATTAGCAACATTTTTTTCGTAATTTTACATTTTAACTACTGATTTAGCTACTAGTAGCTAAAGTTACTGATTCATTCATTTGAGCATTTACCTAAGTTTTACTATCTTTACCTCTTAGCTACAATTTGCTAACGATTACTTATAGATGTGGTTTTGCTTCATTTAGCTTTTAGATTTTGTGTTGCTAATGTTAGCTTTCAGTGATTGTTTTGCTAATTTTAACATTTAGCTATGGTTTTGCTACATTTAGGATTTAGCTACTGCTTTTTTAATGTTAGCACTTAGCTACATTTAGCTATCTTTAACTTTAACTTGCAGCTGTGGCTTTGCGGCATTTAGCTTTTAGATCCCGTTTTGCTCATTTTAGCTTGTAGCAGCAGTTGCTAATTTTGGCTTTTACTGATGACGGTTGAATTTAGGTTTTAAATAAGTTTTTCCTGATTTGAGCTTTTAGCTAGTTTTGATGTGTGCCTTGTTTTAATCTAACATTTAGCTATTCTATTTAGTTTATTCTAAACTATTTTAAAATCTGTTTGTTCTTGTCTTGATTCATCTGAACCTTCTCCCTGATGGTAACAGTTCAAACAGATCATGTCCAGGGTGAGACGTGTCCTTTAAGATGTTGTGGACTTTTCCTATGCAGTGGGAACTGTGTAGATCTTCCAGTGAGGGAAGAGGGCAGCCCACAATCTTCTGGCCTGTGTTGATAACTCTTTGGAGCGCTTTCCTCTGAGCCACCGTGCAGCTAAGATGCCACACAGTGATGAAGTATGTTAAGAAGCTCTCTGTGGAGCTTCTGTAGAAAGACACCAGCAGTCTCTGGGTGATGTTGTTCCACCTGAGCACTCTCAGGAAGTTCAGTCTCTGCTGGGCCTTTTTCAGCAACGCAGAGGTGTTCACGCTCAAGGTCAGATTCCCCTCAATATTGACTCCCAGGAAATGGTAGTCAGCTACTCGCTCCACACTGTTTCCGCTTATAATCAGACTTTTTTTTTTCCTGAAGTTGATGATCAGCTCCTTAGTCGTTGAGGTGTTGAGGAGCAGTTTGCTCCCTCTGCACCAAGCAGTCAGTTGTTCCACCTCGTCCCTGTAGGTGGACTCCCCCCCCCCCACTGATGAGCCCCATCACTGTGGTGTTGTCCGCAAATATGACAAAAGTATTGCTGTGGTGTGGGGTGCAGTCATTTGTGTAGAGGGCACAGATCAGGGTGCTCAGCACACAGCCCTGTGGAACTCCCGTGCTGAGGCTGAGGGCCATGGATGTGTGACGGCCCATTCGAACCCTCTGACTGCGGTCGAACAGGAAACGATTTACCCATGTGGTAAATTTTATTCGGCTGTTAATTTTTCAGTTAATGTCACCGTTTTTGATTCTCTACTCTCTTTAGCTTGGAAAGAACATACAAAACATACATCTGAACATGTGGCTGGTGGAGATTAATTTAATACTAAAAATATTAATTTCCCATTGACAATTAGATTTTTGTGAAACGAGTGAAAACAACTCAGCCCTCTCTGGAGACGTCTCCTCAGTTCAGGATGAGTTTGGTCTTTTACTGTGAACAAAGTCTGATGATCCGGTCCTGTTCCAGTGACGGCAGGGCTCGTCGGAGCATGAGAAAGGGGAAGCCTCTCGCCAGAACCCAGAGCGCTCCACACAGACCGCCTGCTCACGCCAAACAAGTCCTGAAGAGGCAGAAGAGTTCTGAAGCTATGCCGACCACCGACCTCGAGCAGGAGGCGCAGGAGTTGCAGGAGGGAGAGGTCAACCAGCCGATCATCACCCGCCCGAATAACGTGAGTATAAACAAGAGCCATCAGGCCAAGGCAGAAAATAATGGGACCTTTTTATTTTTATTTCCTTGGTTTGGTGGAGGATCTTAAAGTCGTCCATCTTGTTTCTTCAGAGCATCAGCGTCAAGCGTCCACCTGCACCGGTCCCATGGATCATTGTGAACCCCAACAGGGAGTCGTGCGAGATGAAGACAGAGAATGAGCAGTTCAACTTGTTGGACAAAGTATGTTCAATCAGCTGGTAACAGAAAAAAAAAAAGACTGTTCTGCCCAGTAAGTCCAGTATCCGGTTCTGATAAACCCTGTACTTCCCGCCCAGCACGCTCAGGAGCTGTCCGAGCTCCGGCTAGGGATCGAGCAGGTGACGGAGCGGGAGCTGGACATGGCCAAGCGCCTGGAGGACTTCATCATCCAGAGTCAGGATCAAAATTCAATGCTGCAAGCTGAAGTCAACGAGCTTCGAAACGCGCTGGCTGTGCGAGAGGAGCAGCTCGCCAGCGCCACCTTCAGGTAACGACCTGAAGCTTTTTCTGTCTATTTTTTGAGTTTGAATCCGAACTTCTTTCAGCTTCTGTTCAGGGAGGCTTGTTGTGCTGATGTTTCATGAGCGCCTCCTCTCTGTTTGCTGCAGGCTGGGTGTGATTGAGGAAGAAAGGGAGGAAGACGAGAGGAAGCTCAGTGTTGCCCTCGCAGCAGCAGAGAGAGTCAATGTGCTGGTAAGAAACAGCCACTTTAAATCAGTTGTGAATTAAGTTTTGGTCACATATTGACACCAAGGGATGCAACGATTGATTGTAGGATTATGAAAACGTGAACATGTTTGTGTTGCTCAACAAAACCTTTGCGGTTGCAAAATCTGGCCATTATCAGGCCAAGTCAGGTAAATAAAACTAAATCAGCAGGGAACGACATCTGCAATGAGCCCGGAGAAGCAACTGTTGCTGCTCATCAATCTGGGAAGGGTCAAAGGTCATCTCCAAGCTCTCTCTAGAGTCCATCATTTTACAAATAAAAAGATTATTCACAAGTAAAAAAAAGTTTAGAGTAGCTGCCACTCTTCTCAGGAGTGGACTTTGCAACAAATTTACCCCAAAGGTCAGACTGTGCAATGCTCAGAGGAATGAGCTCCATTTCAGACTCTACAGGCCAGCAAGGTCAAGGGTCACGGCTGGAAAATTAGAAAAAAAAAACACTGAAAAAGCATGGCTTGTTTGGAAGAGAACAAATCATCAACTTTGTCAAGACAGCATCACTTAGGTTTGTAAAGTTTCATCTGAAGGAACCGCAAGACTTCTGGAGTAAAACCTGACAAAGAGGAGACGTTTACCCAGAACGCACTGCAGCAAACAGCTCCTCCCTGCTGTCAGCATGGTGGTGGAGGGCTTTTGGTTTTGGCTCCGGTCAGTCACTGAGTGGACCAAGAACTCCTCTGTGGACCAAAGGATTCTGGAGTCAAACCGCTGAAGCTTGGACCAAACTATGATCCAGAACACAGCAGCAAATCTACAACAGGACGGGACAGAACAGAACCGAAGTGCTGCAACGATCCAATCAAAGCCCAGAGATTTGAGGCTCGAGTTTAGTTGTGTGAATGCTGTCAGATTGATTTTAAATAAAATACTTAACCATTAATGTATCACATTTGTTTTAACAGACCGTGACATTTGGTTTTTGTAACTTTACATCTTATTCAACTTCATCTACAAGTACAGAATTTATTCCCGACAAAAATAAATTTCAATTTATACTAAACTTTTTTTTTTTAATTATTGCTTCAGCAAATTTTGTTTATTTTTAGTCTTTTTATGCTACTGTTTTAGCTAGCTGTGCCACTTCTAACTTTTAGGTACTACAGTATACTGCTACTTTTCAGCTTTTAGTTACTATTTTGCTACTTGTAGTTTTAAGCAAACATTTGGCTACTTTTTAGCTTTTAGTTACTATTTTGCAACTTGTAGTTTTAAGCAAACATTTGGCTACTTTTAGCTTTTAGTTACTATTTTGCTACTTGTAGTTTTAAGCAAACATTTGGCTACTTGTAGTTTTTAGTTACTATTTTGCTACTTGTAGTTTTAAGCAAATGTTTGGCTACTTTCAGCTTTTAGTCATAGTTTTGCTGCTTTTAACTACCATTTTGTTGCTATATGTTTTATTTAGCTATTTTTTTAACCTTTGATCTATTGTTCTGCACATTTTTGCTTTTAGCTTTGGTTTGTTGACTTTAGCTGTGGTTTTGATAATTTTAGCACTTAACCCGTTATTTGCTCATTTTAATTTTCATTACGGTTTTGCAAACTTGACTATTGCCGTTTTGTGCATTTTAGCTTTTAGCTAGATTGTTTTGCTACGTGTAGTTTTAAGCAAATGTTTAGCTACTTTTAGATTTTAGTTACTATTTTGCTACTTGTTTGAAGCAAATGTTTGGCTACTTTTAGCTTTTACTTACTATTTTGCTACTTGTTTGAAGCAAATGTTTGGCTACTTTTAGCTTTTAGTTACTATTTTGCTACGTTTGAAGCAAACGT